CTCCTCCTCCTCCTTCTTCTTCTTTTTTTGTACCAGGGATTGAAGTCGGGTCTTTGTGCTTTTGAGTCAGGCGGCACAACCACTGAGCTCACTCCCTAACCCTGGTCATTAGTCTTCCGACTAGATTCTACGTGCAGTTACCAGTTTACTTCATAGCCATTCCTGACGTTTTATAGGTGGAGCCACGTTCTCATAACTACACAGGAACCAGAGCTCAGATCCTTTTATAATCCCCAAGTCCCCCAATGGAAATGGATATTAATTGGGGCATATCTTTATGCATGGCTCTCTATTATGTATTTAAGTACACTTGATGACAAACTTAAGTCCTCCTAAGACCTTGCAGAGAATAAGAGACACAAAGCTACGTGCAAAGGCCAGTTACCTTCACGCTGAGGCAGCAACAACAGTTTGGTTCACCACCACTGGAGGTGAGATTGCTTTTTTTGTGTTGTTGCTTTTTGAGACAGGGTCTCACTATGTAGTTGAGTCTGACTTGAAACTCACTATGTAGCCCAGGCTGCTTTCAAACTCGCAGCAATCCTCCTGCCTTAACCTCCTGAGTGCTGGGATTACAGGCATGCACCCGGCTTTTGCTTCTTTTCAAACTAGAAGAAAACTTCTACTTGGACTTTCACAATGCAATGTCCTCTAACTTCTGCCAGCCACACCTGAGTTTTCAGCAGAGTTCCTCACCTTCTGTTTTAGCCCTTTAGGGCCTGAGCACCTTCACACCTTAGTTTAGAGAGTGCTGGCTGGAGATGTGGTACCCTGGCTGTAAAACTTTGCATTTTTTTTCCCCAGAAACTTAATGGAAAAGAATTAACTTTTCTTTCATTATTTTTTTAATAATTAACTTTTCTTCTGCCTCTTTCCCCATCCTGACAGGCTGTGATGGCCACCAAATTGCATTGATGGGGGAGGGCACCTTTGTTCTGAAGCCATTCATTACAGCAGTGGCTTTCAAAGTGTGGCCCCTAAGGGCCGGGATTTAGCTCAGTGATGCTGCCACCTGCCTCCCAAGAGCAAGGTCCCGAGTTCCATCTCTGGTACAAAACAACAACAACAACAACAAACCCAACACATAGCGTGGCTCCTAGATAAGGAGCATCACTCAGTGTGTGGGCAACCCCTAAGGTGCCCCAACAGTCTCAACTCCGGACAGGCAGGGCCTTCTCTGAGCCTTCCTCCAAAGTGTGGGCTGCATTTAATGACTTCATTCTAATAATTAAAATACAGTGAAGTTAATGGGATGCAACTTTCAAGATTAGGTTCCAGGAAGATGGTAGTGGCCATCTAGGTGGACTCTAGTGGGCCTCTTACTCTGGAGCAAATCAGCTGATATACTGTGTGTACTCTTATAGAGAGGTCACATGGCGAGGAGCAGATGTGTCCAGCTACCAGCCACCACAGGTGTGCACTCAGAAGCAGGACGTGTGCCAGTCAAGCCTTGACAGGACAGCAACCACATCAAGGCCCTGGGTTCACAGGCACCAGGAAGGAGAACTCCAGTGAGCAGCAGCAGGTGAGGTATACACCTGGGAAATGGTTACAAAGGCAGAATGTCAGGCCCCACCAAGACCTGCTGTAATCTGTGTAAAATGCCCCCCACGGGGCTCCAGTTCACAGTGCTGGAGGGACAGACAGATGAGTGAGGTGAGCCACGCCCCCACATGCTCTGGTGATGCTCATATGTCCTGGGCAGGGAGAGGCCAAGAGCAGACTTTTGGGTGGGCAAGTTAAATGGAAGGAGTAGTTGAGCAGCTCTGCTCATTTCTGTATTCCCAGAGGGGCAAAATTAAGAAATGATGGGACTTTAGCAGAGGATAAATTTCAACAAAGTCTGCAAAAAGTAAGTAGATACAAGAGAGCTCAGCGCTGCTGTACAACACAGGGCATCATGAAGGGAACACAGAGAGCCACGGAGGACAAATAAATCCTGAGAAGCAGAGGCTCTAGATCGTCTGTGTGTGAACGCTGGCCCGCAGTTAACGGCCTGTCATCCAGTCAGCGCGGGCCTGCGTGCCACTCTGCCCACTTCCCTCTGTTGCCCCTCAGCTACTAGCTGAGACTGAACACCAGAGACGGGCTGCATGATTGAGCAGAGACTCCAGATTCTGGGCAGGACAGAATTCTTTGATTGATTGATGAAAGCAGTGCAGAGGTTTTGGATGAAAAGATGGATAACAAGAAAATCTGCATAGTCATCTCTGGGCCACTCAGCACTGTGCTTCCTTCCCAGGAAAAACCTAAACCTCCTAAGTGAGCAACTAGAGGTACCAGTCTGGAGAAACTGAGCCCCCTGATTTATGAAGTAAGCAACTTCTCAGTCACTGTGTAATAAACCCCACTAGGTGATTAGCTCTAAACAGGCTCACAGGACACTGAAACAGATATTAGGTGCTTTATTCTTCCTATGAAATTCATCCCCAAACTTCCATTTATTAAATACCTTCAACATGCTAGACAGACCAGTATAAGTAAATAGGAAAAAGGTGAGACAGAGAATGTAAGAGGTAGAAAGTATAAAAAAAAATCAAAGTAACTTCAAAAAGAAAAAGAAGACAATGAAACCATTAAACAGAAGCAGGAAGCTATGAAAAACCACCAGTGAAAGAGGACTTGCAGCTCTGGATGTGATGGTGCAGATGAATGTGTGTGCACACGAGCGTGCGTGTGTGTGTGACACAGGCAGTGCTGAGGCCTGACTCCAGGGCTTTAGGCATGCTAAGCGAGTGCTGCATCGCTGAGCTCCATCCCAGCCCGCATGGTTATATTTTAAAACGACGTAACAGAGGTGAGTGGTGAAGCAGAGGGACGGTGTGACTGCCAAAGAGTTTAGCATTAGAACAATCGAACTGTCTGTGTCTTGCTTACGATGGCCTGTTCATGAATCTGGACGTGGGATAAAATTAAATTCTCTACAGTTTGAA